AATAATGTATCAACAAATGTTAACAGTCACTATGTCTGGCAGTTAATTATGACTTTTTTACTCCATTTTTAAATTTCCTTATTTCAAAATTGATATAGAAGTATCCTGATTGAGAATAAAATGTTCCCAAGTGTTAAAAACCATTATCTCTGAAGTTAATACACATAATTTTTCTATAATGACATGTAAGTTCTTATTTTGTTTTATTAATATTCAAAGTATAGACCCCACAGGCAGCAATAGCTTACGGGATCTCTGAAAGAAGGCAAATGGAAACTACTGCTCTAAGTAGAGGTCTGTAAATAGGAAATGTCTGTGGCAGATAGTGAGATAATGATAATTACTGTGCATTCCGCACTTGACAGTCTTCAGTACATAATATCAAATCTTATTAAAATGTTACTTAAGATAATATTCTATAAAGCTATAAAATCATAAAAGGGAATGATACTTTGAATCTCTATTTTTGGTAAAACACTTCTCATTTAACACTATTTTATTTTGGATTAAAATTAAGATCCAAGGAATAATTTGTTGTATGCATTTCCTTTTTATGATGTTGGCTCTGGAGCTATTAATACACTGACTGATCAAACCAATTACATCTACAGAGTAACAGATTTAAAGAAATTATATGTGAGAACTTTTACCCAAAAGTATAACCCAAAACAAGCTGTACCTTAAACCAACTACAGCAGGTCCTCAAATAACATCATTTCCTTCTATGTCATTTTGTTGTAACACTTAAGTATGTGTGGAGCTCGCACATTCTCTCCTCATCTGTGGAACTCTGGTTTCCTCCTATATCCCAGAACAGTGCACATTAGGTTCACTGGTGTGTTTAAGTTGTCCTGGGTTCAATGTGAGTGCATACACGAGTGTACCCTGTGATGGGATGGCCTCCTATCCAAGGTAGGTTCCTCCCTCCTTGAGCTGCTGGGATTGGCTTCAGCCAGCAGGACCCCACACTAGAATATGAGGGTTGAAAAATGAATGAATGAATGAATACAAATTAGTATCGAATAAAAATTGGTGAAGTCTAGGGTCATCATACAAATGCATGACAATTAATGCTATGGCACAAAAGCCCTCAGAGATTTCACTGTATTTGAATTGGTTTTGATCTGCATGGAGTTGGCAATGCTCCTGACAATTTTCACTTTTCAAACATTGATTCCATGATTTTAATCAACCACCACAACCACTGTCATTCACTGATTCACCAAATATTGGGTAATTATCTTTGGTGGCTTTTTTTTTTTTCTTTTGGAGACAGAGTTTTGCTCTGTCACCCAGGCTGGAGTACAGTGACACAATCTGGGCTCACTGCAACCTCTGCCTCCTGGCCTCCAGCAATCCTCCTAAGTAGCTAGGATTACAGGTGCATGCCACCAGCCTGGCTAATTTTTGTATTTTCAGTAGAGACAGGGTTTTACCATGTTGGCAAGGCTGGTCTCAAACTCCTGACCTCAGGGATCTGCCCGCCTCGGCCTCTCAAAATGCTGGGATTACAGGTGTGAGCCACTGCACCCAGCCTATCTGGTTTTTATTAAACTTTCTTAAATGTATATATAGTTCATATTTCTTTCAACATTTAATATTAGAAGTGTTTGGGGTCTTTATTGAGAAGTTTAGTCATATTTTTGTGACCAGAAATATGCCATAGGAACTTAACTCTTGTTTACATCAATTAGCCTAGAGTAAAAATGGTTTCATTATAGTTGTTTTGCATAAAGTCATGGTTTTCAGGAACCTATGGATGACACTGAGGATTACTGCAATACTTCTAGTAAATTTGGCAGAAAAGGCAAAGACTGGAGTTACTACTCCTAACACAAATGAGACTGTCATGGTGCACCCCATCAAAAAAGGAGAGACAGACAGATAAAAAGAAACACAGGCGTGCACATGCTTACACACACACACACACGTACGTGCGCATGCGCCAGAAACATTTGATGTTATAAATACAATAGTGCTGAGAAAGATGAATTAATACAAAATTGTATTTTTTGTTCTGAGAATAGGTTACATATATGATTCTAATCCATTTATTGTTTTTACATTCAAGGCTACCTAAAAGAAGACAGTTATCTCATATTTGGCTGCCAGTTTTTCCTTTCTCTTGACCGCTTAAAACTTCAGACTTCCTCTCCTGTTGGTGTCATGGAGAAAGTCCAATACCTCACTCGCTCAGCTATAAGAAGAGCCTCAACCATTGAAATGCCTCAACAAGCACGTCAAAATCTACAGAACCTATTTATCAATTTCTGTCTCATCTTAATATGTCTCTTGCTGATCTGTATCATCGTGATGCTTCTCTGAAGTTCTGCTACAACTCTAGAGCTGCAACGAACCACATCAGCTTAAAATCTGTCATCCCATGCAGACGGAAAACAATACTGTGTAACACACCACTTCCTGAGTATAAGAGTTTCTTTGTGAAAAGGTCAAGATTAAGACTAAAACTCATTGTTAGCACATGTATTCAGCTGCTGGATCTTGTAAACATGAAAAGGGCTTTATTTTCAAAAAATAACCTTAAAATAAGTGTATAAAATGTAACTGCTGATTTCCTCAACATGGTTCACAAATTTCTATCCCAAATCTTTTCTGAAGATGAAATATGAGTTTAGTTCTGAAACTGCACTGCCAACAAGTTCACTTCATATGTAAAGCATTATTTTTACTCTTTTGAGGTAAATATAATTTATATTACACTGTAAAAGCTTCTTTAGTATTAAGTATTTGTCAGGTCTTCACCAAGCATCAAAGTAATAATACAAATGAAGTGTCATTATTCAAAATAGTCCACTGACTCCTCATATCTGTTATCTTATTATAAAGAACTCTTTGTAGTAACTACCAGTATCGATATTCTAAAACAGAAATTGTATTTTTTCTGTGCCACATTAACATTTTTTAAAGTTGATGAGAATCAAGTACGGAAAAGTAAGGCCATGCTCTTACATAATAAAATTTCTCTTAAGTGATTTTTTTCAAAGAATTACAGAATTCTAGTCCATGTAGGTAAACCATAAATCTGTTCTAAGATATTATGATCAACAGATGAGAATTGGTGGTTAATATCTGACAGTGTGATTAATCATAATCACTAATGTACTAACAGAATAGAATCTAATCTTCCTTTAAGGTACTGTAGTGAATTACCTGAGTTGGAGTTACCTAACTTGCCATATCTACAGAATCACGAAACCATAAGATTTCAGAATGATTTTACAGTTTGTCTTCTATTCAAACCCAACATCCAATGCAGGCAAAGAAAATAATAGAAGATTTCCAGTGACAGAAAAAGGTTATCTCAAGTATTTAAAAGAAATAAAAATATGAATTTTCTCTCCAAATATTAACTAATTTTTAGATTACTTTTTTTTTTTAGATTACATTTTGAAATGAACTTGTTGGCCCATCTGTTATATCTACAGCTGACCCCTGAACATGGGGGTTGGGGAGCTGACAATCCGTGGGTCCCCAAAAATCTTAACTACTAATAGCCTACTATTGACAATAAACCTTACTAATAACATAAACAGTAAATTAACACATATTTTGCATGTTTTATGTATTATATACTCTATTCCTACAACAAAGTAAGCTAGAGAAAAAAATCTTATTTAGAAAATCATTAGAAAGAGAAAATATATTTACTATTCATTAAATGGAAGTGGGTCAACATAGAAGTCTTCATTCTCATTGTCTTCACATTGAATATGCAGAGGAACAAGAGGAGGAGAAAGATGGGAAGGAAGAGAAGGGATTGGTCTTGCAGTCTTGTCTTAGGGGTGTGGGGAGTGGGGGAAAAGAAAATTCATGTATAAGTGGACCCTCTCAGTTCAAGTCCTTGTCGTTCTGGCATCAACTGTAATAGGATATAGCTATTTTCCTTAATCTATCAATCAAATGGTAAACATCTATTTTGTAAGCCACTCTACTGAGCTAAATTATAGATCCAACAATGCTATCTATAACTATTTTCTTGATGAATAAATTTTCAATTTCTCCTCTGATCATTTCAGAACATCTTCCAATAACTCACAAAACAACTGAAGTAAAATTTAGTGCTGGCAAATATATTCACCAAACTTTGGTAATTTAAGTTGACTAAAGTTTAAAATTAAGTCTAAACTGTATAATCCAACAATTTTAATTCCAACTGAAGACATGTTACTAATATAACTATTATTAAAAGGGCAGAGGATATATAATTAACCATATCCTCTAAAACATGGTTACTAAAAGAATATGAAGCATCAATATTGATCTTGGTTTCTTATACAAGTGCTGCTAACTGAATAGTGAAAGAGACATTATTAAATTTTCTGAAACCATGAGAGGTACTAGAGACGGGAGCGGAAAGGGTTTGGTTCAGGGATACCTGAATAACGGATGGGCAGAGTTTTCTTAAGCGAAACCTCATCTACAAGTTGGAAATCCATAATAACAAGTAGAAAGCTTATAAACAACAGGTAATACACTCACCTTACTGGTTTTAGTAAATTACCAATACAAAAAGTATCCAAGTTCTATAATAAGCTGCACTGGTCTTAAAAACAAGTGGATAATTTGAACTGATTAGTCATAGTCCTTTCATTACATTGTTCATTACAGTATTTTCCTCAGTAAACAGAAATAAGTATTTTTTTGTTCTTCATTGTTTGATAGAAATTAAAATCTTATTCTGTGAGGATTACAGAATACTACATTATAACTCAAATTATAAAGTAGAATAAACTATTCTTTATCATGAAATGTAAATTCATAACAATTTATTTTTAAAATTTAAAATACTAAATGCTCAAATATGTTCTACTATGGAATGAGTTCTGATCTTAATTTACAGGGTACTAAAAAACAATTTTAAAATGCTTAATGTTGCCTTTTATATTTTAATTGGATAAGAATGTGTATTTGTTTAATGCAAATCATCAGAATCACTACATAAAAATGTTCTTGAAAATTCAGTGAAGCTGCTCTAAAATATACTTACGATTGATACTAATGATAAACCATTTTAACTATAGTTTTGATTTTACAGGAGTTTTTTGGTGATTTGTCCCAAATAAAACAAAATCAAGATGCTCTAGTATAGACACAAGAGGGCAGACCCATATAAAATAATGAATTGCTACTAACAGAGATTATTTATCTTTTGATTATTTTTGAGTCTTCTGGCAAAGTAGGACTATAATAAATTTTTGAAAGTATCTGCTCTTCTGTTAAGTAACAGCATACTTTAAAATGTCCAGAAATGTTATGCTAATATTATATAGAAAACCTGACAGATGAAAACAGTCAAACACATTACTAACTTTATTCACTTAAAACTTGTATATAAAAGTCCTTTTTAACTACTTAATGAATGTGTCATATCCTAATATAGGGAGTGTCATAGCGTCCACATCTTTGAATACATAAATTATCTCAAACAGTTAAAAAATGAAAGAACAGGGTACAAATATAAGAAAATATAAAAATAATAATACTTTATTTTCAGAGGACATAATAGAATACATAAAGCACTCCCAAGTTATAAAACTTTTTCATTATTATTTCATGTTAGACAAAAAACAAGTCATTTTACTTTAATTCATTTTATCAGTTTTTTCTTTAATCAACAGACAGGGTGGTTACTCTGTCATGCAGGCTGGAATGCAGACACATGATCATTGTTCATTGCAGACTTGAACTCTTGGGGCACAAGAGATTCTCCAACCTTGGTTCCCAAGAATCTAGCACTACAGGGGCACATCACTACATATGGCTAATTCTTTTTATTTTTTGTACAGATGCAGTCTCACCAGCCCAGGCTGGTCTCAAATTCATGTCCTCAAGCTATCCCTCCCCTGTCAGCCTCCCAAAGTGCTAGGATTACAGGGGTGAGCTACTGTGCTTGGTTCAAATTTTTGATTCATATAAGGGAAAATCTCCAGTAAAATATGTTAAAATCAATAGGTGCCAATACCATAACTGTTCAAACCCCCTTATGACTAAATAGGCACAAAATTTCATCTTTTTAATGATTGCCCCCTGAAGTTCAGAAACATCTTAGGGAAAAAAAGGATAAACAACTTCGTCAATAAAGAGACTATTATTTCACTACTGCTGGGAGATCCATCGTGGGCTTCAAGGAATCCAATGGATACTGCCGTTACGTGTAGAAGTATTTATCCTCCACCCCTTCCACCCTACCTTCCCCAAGAAAAGAAACCCAAGAGGGACATGGAAAGGGAAAGATTCTTCCCAAAGAGAACACCAGACTGCTTTTTCTCCTCTGTCCCAGTCCTTATAGAGTCAGGTAGCTTAGGGGTTGCAGGGGATGGGGAGCAGAAGGATGATGTACTACAAAGGAAAGAGTCAAAGGCTAGCAGTGGGCATTATACATGGAGCCCTCTATCATAAACCATCTGAGGGTATAATGGCTTCTTTTCATTCACAAAGGAAAATGCTTCGGAGTACTACACTCCTGCACTCTTAATAATTTGGCAGAAAACCATGGAAATCAAAGAACAACACACACATAGGAATCTGTGGCTGGCTCAATAATTATTCTGGACTGAGTCCTTAGAAGAGCAAACCTTTAATGTTACAAATTAACCTGGGGAGTGGGGAGCTGTGAGGATCAAATGAGATAAAATACTGTGAAAGCTATAGAATTCCATAATATATAAATCCATGGTTTTATTAGATCATGACTTTCAGCCAAATTCCTTTTCTTAGCTGTAAAAATATTGTTTTTTCATGGTGAGTGTTTAAAAGCTGTGCTTGAAAATCACAATTTACCAGATGAGCTGATCCTTATTAAATTTCTTCTCTTCACGTAAAAATTAGATGTAAAGAGTGTTTTTATGTCTAATTTTTGTTTTTACGTAAATCAGTGTTTCTAAGATTTTTATCTTTTTTCCTTTTCACAGACGGGGTCTCGCCATGTTGCCCAGGCTGGTCTCAAACTCCTGGACTCAGGCAATTCTCCTGCCTTGGCCTCCCAAAGTGCTGGGATCACAGGCATGAGTTACAGTACCTGGTTGGAAGTCAATGTTTCAAAGAGGCTTTTAAGAAACAACTATGATGAAAGCTTTTAAAATAAAGAGAATATTACTGGAGGCTCCAAGAAGGTATTTAACAACTTTTTTCTGTAGTTTTCCAAGGAGGAAATTAGAAGGGAAGCAGTCATTTAATCATTACAACTTAAGTTTGTCTAGTTTTCTTTACCTGAATTCATCTTTCTACTCTAAAACTTTTAAAAGCACTATAAAGAGACCATCCCCAATAAAGTTAATCAAGAAGTAGGACTTTCCAGGGATATGTAAATTTTGCTTGTTAGTAGCCTTCTCTTTCTACTATGCACCAGGAAGAAGATTTAAAAACAAATTTTTCTCTGCAGTGTGTCCCCAACCTCCATACCCACTTCTGCACTGCTTTAAGGTTAAGAAAAACACCTTGTTTAAAGCAGAGGTTTGTCCAAGCACAATAAAAGGCATGCCCAATTTTCTCAGTTATCTATCACACCTACTCTAGTTTGGAATAGTACACTCAGACCCATTGGTCAGCTCCAATTCTGTGCAAAGACGCCAGCCGGAGAAACAACTGCCTGATCTCAGTTTTCCTGTAATAACAAACATTTGAAAACTAAAACGTGATAGTATTTGAAAAATTAGATTTCCTATTTTTAATCACTTGAATGGATAAATCACAAATTTGTAATTTGGTCATAGTGATTTTTCTGTTTTGATTATGTGGTTTAAGTACATAATCAAAATTATAAGAACTGGGTCTAAAATAAGAATAAAGAAGGCACATGCGATATGTTAACGTTCTCCTATGAATGCAGCATGTTAGGTTCTATGTTTTGTGATCATACTCAGATTTGTGAGGTTCCTGGATAAGTGATTTCCTTATCCTTTCATAGCCTATGTTCATTTACTGTATTTGTTTTTATTAGCAGTAGTAATGAATAGCAATTTTACATTTTTACTCTAGGGAAAATTTGTAATTTTTAATAGAATTGTTTGAGAAAATTCTGATGATAAAAAACAGATGACAGTATTGCTATTAGAAAATTAGTTTCCTAGTTAAAACAAGCTACAGAAAATTATCTTGAAATAGAAACACCCCCAGAAATATACACATTGACATGCTATTTCCTAGACCAATTGGGGGCTATATACTATTTTTCTTTATACAGGACATCATCATACAGTTCTTTCTATAAAACTGATTAATGAATAAGTCTTGACATACTGTATAATTTTTTTTTAAATAAGTATATCTGAATTATAAACCTAAATACATTATCAATCACCAAAACTTCACAAATGACTGTAGTTCTACCTTCTCACTGTACAGATGAAGAAACTGAGGCCCAGAGAAATTAAGTGACAAAAATCATCCAGGTTCTAAATGGAACCAGAAACAAAATCTAAGACCTTATATGGTCAAGTTGATGCACTCTTTCTATAAAACCTATTCCAGCTTTTTTGTTTCTATTTCCAAGTTTCTTTAGATTGAGCATGTTTTGCTTTATTTTCATGCCCATTTAATAAATGAAAAGGAAAGAACAAGTTAGACACAAGGTTTCAAGATTTTCATGTTAATTAGTCTCAAATGTTGTGTAAGTTTTGTTTATCAACACAACATTTTTCAGGTAACATTTCTGCTTATTAATGTGCAGGGAAAAGCAAAACTATCTGCGGACACTTGTCATATGCTTACTGCAAGTGTGCTATTACACTCATAACATCCACTGGAGGGAAGCAAACACTAAATGTTGAGCCTTACCTGCATTGGTGTTTCACTTCCTTGCTGAAACTCTTCAATTTGCTGCTGTTGCCAAGGAGCTAAACTGTAAGAATCTTCTGTAGTTCTACCTTCCAAAGGATTTGTCCGCAGCTGCTCTGTAAGCCACATCTGAGTCCTTACAGAAGGCTGAATGGGAACTCCACCTACTGATTGTTGACCAAGCATTAAATATTTTGGAGGTTCAAAGGCCTCTGAGCTTGTCATAATGGGCTTGCTTTCAGGTAAGGCACTATATGTCATGTCTACAGTCTGTCTCCTCAGAGTAGAGGAAGAGGCTCTGAAGTCCTCCTTGCTACAGCTCTCAAATTTATATTTGCAGTCTAAAGTTGATGACCGTTTTTTATTTATATCCTTGTCCTCTAACTTAAGCATCTCCATACTGTCATGTAAACAGCTAGGCCCAGCTGTCCTCAGTTGTGATATTAAAGCCTTAGCCCTCCCTGTCTTTTCCAAACCATTCCTTGACTCTTCTCTGCAAACAGTGCTACCCTGGACACAGTTATCCAGGGCAGTGAGTTTGGATAAAGATGACCATTTCCGAAGTGGGCGGAAGTCCTTCATGTCTAGTGAAGAGTCCTGCTCCCCACTACTGTGCTTTCCCAATGTTTGCATGAGGCTTGTACTCCATTTTGAGCCATCTCGTGTCAATGATTCCCTAAGTTTGGAAATTGAAGCGCTGGAGTTAGACGGCATCACATGGGCAGTAGGAAGAGTAACCAGTGATTGACTAGGCTTAAAAGATAATGTGCCACTTGAAGTTGAATGATCTGAAAAGAGAAAAGATTGCCAAATTAGTTACAATTAACAGACAAAAGAGAATGGGGTAAAATGCAAAATGTCAAAAGAAACGTCTGAACATGGTATCAAAGCACAAGTTTTTTTTTTTTTTTTTTTTTTTTTTTTTTACAAAAAATTTTTTTTTTTTTTTTTTTTTTTTTTTCCTTGAGACAGAGTTTCACTCTTGTCACCCAGGTTGGAGTGCAGTGGCATGGTCTTGGCTCACTGCAACCTCCGCCTCCCAGGTTCAAGCGATTCTCCTGCCTCAGCCTCCCAAGTAGCTAGGATTACAGACGCCTGCCACCACACCCAACTAACTTTTTGTATTTTTAGTAGAGATACGGTTTTGCCATGTTGGGCATGCTGGTCTCAAACTCCTGATCTCAGGTGATCCACCGACCTCAGCCTACCAAAGTGCTAGGATTACTGGCCACCACGCCCAGCCAACACAACCTTTTCAAAAATACTTCCTCAAAATGAGGAAATTACTATTATTCTTTTATCTGAAACAAGTCAATATACTTTCAAATTGAATTTTCTAAATATGGATACATGATAAATTATATGGTATTTTACCATCTACTGTACTTGCAGGTGAAAAATGATTTAAAATAGATTCAAATTTGCTCAAAGTACTGTGCCTTTATAAGGAAAAAATCCAACTTCTTATTGAGAGGTCTTATTCATAATCCAGCAATGAAGTCTCAGACACAACTCTATCTAAAAAATGGTATTTTTCTGTGTCTTTCCTGAACTGTGGAAATCTATGCCAGATGTGAACATTTTAGAACCTCCCCAAACAATTTAAGTTCAAATGAAAAATATGAGTAAAGGTACTCCTGCAATAATGAAAAATAGTGCCAAAGGGTTCACTTCCAGTATCACTCAATGGTGTGCGTGTGGGTATGTGTACATATATTCATATTCACCCCAAGCTAGAACCTTAGCATCGACTTTGATTCCCTAATCTTTATATTTATTAAATCCCCAAATTGTACATTCTTACCTCCAGAATAATTTAATTTCTATTACCTTAAGTCAGGCCTTCACATCATACTCTTCTATACAAATGAATAGTTTTAGAAGACTAAATGAAAGGCTGAAAGATAAATAAAGGCTTACATACTCAACAAATTTACCATTAAGTGCCATGTTATCATATATATCAAACTAAAACCAAAGACTATAGTTTTGTAATCAAGGGATATCTAGAAAGGGGGTAGGAATTTAAACTGGTATGTGTCGGGGTTGGCGGGGGGAGGTGAGAGATGAAGACTTTAGCAATTTATTCTCTATCTCCCCACACTGTTTGACTGTTACACCAGAATATACTTATTACTTGTGTTCTCTGATACTGTCTTATGGGAAAAGATATGTTGGTAAAGTTGTAAGAAAATTCAGATAAAAACGAGCCAGGTAGACTAATTCAAAAATTAAAATTCCAGTAGGTCTTTGCACAGAATTTGTTAACCTGGAGATGAAAATGGAAAAACATTACAGATGAAGGAATATATCGCTTCTCGGCCTTTTGGCTAAGATCAAGTGCAGATAAAGGAATATGAGCAAAAGTATTATAGTAGATATTTATCATATTCAAAACTGCCTATCAGCTTCTGAAGAAACTTCCTGCATTTAGGAAAATTCTCACATTACTGACTCCAACCTTCCCAAAATATATTTCAGACCTCAAAATCCCACTATACCCTGTAACTATGATGCAGACATTCACAGGCACCAGCACAAGACTGCAGTTTGGAAGTAAGTCACATGATAAAATGGACTCGATGTGGAGCTACCATTTTTGGGTGGTATAGGCAACAGCAGAGGCATCACGTTTCCACAACGGCAGTGACGGAAGTGGCCCCACAGTGGCTGCAGAATCAAAATTCCTATCCCAGAACTGGCAGCAGCTAGGCAGCTTGGTGGCGCAAGACTGATGGTTTTCATATATTATTTGAGGCATATTACTTGGAAGCTTATCCTTAATCCTGGTTCTCCAGCCTTCCTAAAAATTCTGTGAAGTCCCAAATATCCTTAAATTTCCTATGTGCTCAATCAGCCAGTAAACAACTTCTGCTGATTAAAAACACTGAATGATCCAATCATGAAGCCAAGAGAATATGGCTGTATAAGAAGAAAAATAAATCCATGCATCTACAGTATTGAGTTAAAGTGCCAAGAAAAGTTGTCAAGGTAACTCTTGATAGGTAAAGGTGAAGCAGAATTATACACATCTTTAAACACTCTGCTAAGTAAAGAGCCCGGCCTTCACTCAGCACGAAACATGGTATCACTGAGTTTCCAAACAAAGGAGTGAATGGCATGATCAAAATTGTACTTAAGATGATTATTCTGACAGCAGAGTTGCCAATGGATTAAAGCAAAACTGGCAAACACAGTGATTAACAGACTACTCTGGTAATCAGGAGAAAAGAAAATAAAGGGGAATATGCTACTGACAGTTGGTTCTAAACAGAAATAGGACAGATGTCCCCAAAAGTTTACGGAATATTTGTATTCATATATTACAGCATTATATATTTTGACATACATTTGTATTAATATTCCTAAAGGAATATTTATACTAAAATTATCAGAGCATCTAAAAGATATCCCTAAATTAAAAAAAAATTAAACATTAGTCCTGTATCAAATTGCAGATAAAAATATAGAGCTAAGGTTAAGTATAACAGTTTTGATCTCAAAAATATTATATGTAGTAAAATATAGGGCCGGGCACAATGGTTCATGCCTGTAATTCCAGCACTGTGGGAGGCCAAGGCAGCGGATTACTTGAGGTCTGGAGTTCAAGACCACCCTGACCAACAACAGTGGAACCTCGTCTCTATTAAAAATACAAAAATTAGCCAGGTGTGGTGGTGGGTACCTATAATCCCAGCTACTCAGGAGGCTGAGGCAGGAGAATTGCTTGAATCTGAGAGGCAGAGGTTGCAGTAAGCAGAGATCATGCCGCTGCCCTCCAGCCTGGGCAACAAAGCTAGACTCTGTCTCAAAAAAAATAAAATAAAAGTAAAATATGGAGCCTTTTTAGATTCAAATTTAACAGTTGACTCCTCCATAGGGTGGAGATGACAACAGTGAGAAATAAACCAATACACATAAAACACGCAGAAGAATTCCTGGCAGAAAGCAAAATGTTAGTTATTATTATGTCATTAAAAAGCTACAAGTAAATATTATTTTCAATACAACAGACAAAGGCTAAATATCCACACATATAAAGAGCTCCAATAAATCAACAAAAAATTCTAGCAACTCAAATTTAAAATAGGCCAAAAAAAATTAATAAGCAAATCAAGCAAGAAACACAACTAGAGAATACATGAAAAACAATGCTCAAACTCACAAATAGTAAAAGTACATTCTCTATCATAGTCAGAAAACTATTAAAGGCTGCAAATATACAATGATGGGAACATAAGCTGTTATAGTCTTTGGAAGAAGAGAGGCAATTTGTACATAGCAATGTTTAAAATATGAATACACTTAAGTGAACAGACATAAACGTGTGCATATTTATATATAAATACATATACATTCATTAGCAGAGAAAAGATCTGGAAGAATACACCCAAAACTTAGTAAACAAAGGTAACCTCTACATAGTGGAAAGAGGACAAAAGGAGAAAAATACTTCCATGTTTTACTATATACAATGTCTTATTTTAATCGCTTTCCAGGGAATATAACTTTACCATGTGGTCAAAATTCTGCAAAGGTATTTTGTTGTTCTACGACCTCAAAGAGTTTGAAACACTTCTAAAGTATGAATAATAAATAGGTAATTGTCTCACTTCCCATGTCACAGCCATACCCTCTAAGACCCGATTTGGCTGCTTCTTGAATTTGATAATGTGCTACTTTCCTCTCTGCCTTTACTAACTCAGTACTTTCCAAACGCACAGAAAAATCAACAATGAGTGAAAAATCAATTTCATATCAGACTAGTGTTTATTCCCTCAACCTGAAAGCGGTTGATATACGCTGTCCATAGACTATTACACTGAATATAGAATTTATTCCTAAAATTCTCTTATTACAAATTCTCAAATCTTAGTATTAAAAAAGTTACCTGAGAACTGGTGCCCTACTCCAAGAGATGATGATTCAGTAAGAATAGAGAAGGGCCTAGAAAATATCACTACCAAATAAGTTATTCTGCTGTTTCATTTAAATAACATTATTCCATTTGGGTCTGATTCCAGTTCTGAAGCCTTTAAGCTTAAATATCCTAAGTTCAATCACAACCAGTAACTGAGTTCTAGTGTAAAATCTGATTAACTGTGACGTTCAGATCCTTTTTTTTAACTAAGGATCAAAGCTTAGTCTATTCACACACATATGCACACACAACACGTGAATAAATGAAGAAAGAATTAAATATCTGAAAGAATTAAATATTTAGTATTTATAGGATAATTAAATATAAGAATTAAAATTTAAAAATTAAATATTTAAGAATATATGAACAAAGAATTAAATATTTTCCCCCAGTATGAATTTCGGGGAGGCGGGAGGAGAGTCATTACATCTTAGACAGCAATGAGTCCAGAAGATGTCAACTTTAACAATTTTAACACTTAAAAATGTTATTTTGCCCTAAGGAATCACAGTTAATTAGAGGTAGATATAATTCAATTCCTAATGTGCTTGATTAGGCTAACTAATTGTAGCCACAAATCCCAAATTTGAGTTATTACTACAGCATCTAGCTTACATCTAAGTTACAACAGTGATATCTGAAACCAAGACAGGGTAGACCTTTTAAAGACTCAAGAATATAGCTTATAGCATTGACAGTGGGCATAGAAGAGCTAATGGTTTCAGGCAGATTTAAGTTTTTAAGGCCAGAATATGAGAAAAGAACATCACTATAACCTGATAATGCAAGTGAATTATATTTAAGACAACATTATTTCTCAATTCCAAACAAAACCCCAATCTTCTGTTTCACTGTCATGTTATTCTCATCTGGTAACGGATGAAACCATTGATTCTATCTTCTCTTATATACAGGGATGGTCCCTCTCTCTCTCTCTCTCTCTCTCTCTCTCTCTCTCTCTCTCTCTCTGCTCTATCCTTCTCACAGTAATAAGGAACTAGATGCAAAAAGAGACCACTCACTCCCACCCTCCAGATCTATATTATAACAATAAAACACAAGTCTTTACAGTTTAAAAAATAATCAGTAAACTATATAATCCTGTATCAAAACATTCTGATTTAAAGTATAACATTTTATACTTATCAGTCAATATAAAATGTTATTAAATAAAAATGTTAACCCTAACCACAAAGGCAATAATTTTTGTACAACACATCGAGTTTTTCCCCTTCCTGCTGATGCCATGATCATATCATGTTACATGGAAAAAAAAAATTTATGCCACATATAACCCATTCTTTTAAAAAAAACAAAAAAAAATGAACATTTCTAGGTATTCTCTATATTTTTAGGTAAATATTTTTAAATATTCTAAACCACACACTGCTAGGGAAAGGTGCTATATAAAGTAATTCAAAGAGTCTCCTGGGAATGTATTAAGTACAAGGCATTCTGCTAGGTAGAAAAGATAACATAAATATATTAATCTCAATAAAAATATGAATCAGACCTTCCCCTAAAGGCTTACAATTTCATTGTTACACAGCTGCAGAGCAGGACTAAAGCTTATGAAAAAACTATAAAACATCAAACACTGAGAAGTGATGAGCCATAGAGAAAGGGCAGACTATTCATAAAACAACTATCAATGATAGCCAACTTCTCAATAGCAATAATGGAATCCAGAACACAGTGGACTAATATCTTCAAAGGGATGAGTAAATAACTGGCATCCAAAAATTGTTTCTGAAGGGAAACTGTCTTTCAAGACAGAAAAATATATTTTCAGCTAAGCAAAAACATAATTTGCAGACTCACTGAAAGAACTGCTAAAGTTTCTTGAGTTTATTTCAGAATAAAGAATAATGAATTGAGTTGAAAAAAAGAACAGGGAAGAGAAATGGCAAACTTTTGATTAAATCTAAAAAAAAAACAAAAGTAACAATGCAGACAACAATAAAAACAGTATATAACTTGTGGGTAAAAACAAAAATATATATACTTAGCAACTATGGCATATAACCCACAACAGGGGTGGCTGGCATTCCAACATTCTACAGTCCTTGTATTTATCAGAAAAGAATAAAGATTCTGATTACCATTATAGACAGTCAAGTTATGGGTATATATTATAATCTCTACATTAAAAACCAGAAGAATACTTAGAGATGGTGTGACTGGATAGTCACAAGCAAAAGAATAAAGTTAAACCATGACTTCATAACATCCATGAATATTAAATGAATCATAGGCCTAAATGTAACAGCTAAAACTATTAAACTCTTAGAAGAAACTAAATAAAATTCTTAGAAGAAATCTTCATTATCTTGAGTTAGGCAATAGTTTCCTAGATACAATACCAAAATCCCAAGAGATCAAAGAAAATAAAGGTGGACTTCATCAAAATTTAAACATATTTTGGTTGCAAATAATACCATCAAAAAGTTAAAAGACAGCTCACGTAACAGGGAGAAAATTTCAGCAAATCCTATATCTAATTGGGACTTTTATACAATATTACATAAAAAACCCTTAAACTCTACCATAGAAACACAAATGACCAATTTAAAAATAGGCATAAAATATGAAAAGACTTTTTTTATCCATAGAAAATATAAAAATGGCCTTATTTTAAAAGCACATGAAAATAGGCTGAACATCATTTGTGTTCAGAGAAATGCAAATCAAGCCACAAAGATAGTGAAGTGCCTTATTAAAAAACACACAATGAGATACCACCTCACAACCACTAGGATAGCTAGAATCAAAATGACATATAAATGTTGGCAAGGATGTGGAGAAATTGGAACCTCATATGCTGCTGGTAGGAATGTAAAATGGTGCAGCCCCTTAGGAAACAATTTGGTAGTTCCTCAAAAAGTTAAACATAGAGTTACCATATGACCCAGCAATTCTACTCCTAGGTATATACCCAAGAGAAATATATACAAGAATATTCATAGAAGCACTATTCTTAAGAACAAAAAGGCAGAAATAATCTGAATGTCCATCAACCAATGAACAGATAAATAAAATGTGGGATTACCAATACAATGGTATATTACTTTGCAATAAAATGAAGTACTGATACATGCTACAGTATGAATGAGGACAGAAAACATACTATGTGAAAGTAGTCACCAAGGACTGTATAATAGATAATTCCATTTATGTGAAATGACCAGAATAAAGATATCTATAGAGACAGAAAGATTAGTCGTTGCTTAGGTCTGGGAGTAAGGATGGGGAGTGACAGCTAATGGGCTTCTTTTAGGGGCAGGATGAACGTGTTCTAAAACCAGATTGTGGTGATGGCTGCATAATTCTGAGAATATACTGAAAAACATAAAACTGTATACTTTAAATGGGTGAACTATACAGGATCTTAACTACATCACAATAAAGCTAACTTTTTAAATGCATGAAAATATAATAATCATCATAGTAAGTGAAAGAAAGGCCATTCAAAAGATAAGCATTGCTCAAATATTTTTAATCCAGCTAAACATATACAAGAGACACACCTAAAATATTAAAATCCTATTTTGGCATTATGGTATCTGCATAGAGTCTAATTACAAGAAATAATCACACAAAAATAATTGTCAAGAACATTAGAACTATACCTCAGGTACCAGTATCATGAAAAGCATGCTTTCCTATGCTTTTATTCTTTATATTTTGATAATGAGAAACTTCTGTTTGTTTCCCTATAGGCAAATGATTGACCTATTCTTTCAGCAACTGTACATGACAGCAATAGTATGCAATTATATGTAAATCTTAGTTCTCATTTTATTATCTAATCACAATTACAAATAACCTTGTTTTCTGCACTATTTCTTATTTTCGCATTTGTATCTTGAGAAGCTATTTCAAATCTTCAGACAGAAAAAAAATTACTTGTTTAAAATAATTATAAGAATATACCTTTTATTAATTAGTTCTCAAGTCCTTTTTGTACATTGTCGCTTAGCAAACATTCATAACAAACTAAGAAATTTTTTTTTATAGGCAAGATGAAAAGTTAGTTTTTTGTTTGAGGTTTTTTGAGACAAAGTCTCACTCTGTCATCCAGGCTGGAGTGCAATGGTATAATCTTGGCTGACTGTAGCCTGAACCTCCCAAGCTCAAGAGATACGCCCATCTCAACCCCCTAAGTAGTTGGAACTACAGGCATGTGTCACAACACCCTGCTAATATTTGTACTTATTGTAGAGACATGCTTTTACCATAATACCAAGCCTGGTCTTGAACTCAGGCTCAAGCAATCTGCTGGCCCTGGCTTCCCACAGCGCTGGGATTAACAGGTGTGAGCTACCACGCCCGCCTGAAAAGCTGGTTTTAAAACACAGAAAAACAAAAAAAACAGGCATTCTGATCTCTAGCCAGATTCCTGACAATTTAAAGGACAATTTGATGTATGTCTCAAAGAGGTCAACAATTCAAAGCAAAATATTTTCAAATCTGGTCAAGGGGTGGGAGGTGGGCAGGAATCTGGTCAGAAAAAAAAAAAAAAGCCCCTTTTTACATTTACCAAAAAAATTAGAATTCTTTTCTTGTCTGCCTTTCAAAATTTCACTCAGCGCTACCATTTTCTGGACATTTCACACTAGTTTCAATTTAAGATTAAGTCCCATCAGGCAGTTCACCTGTAGAAAGCTGTGTTACTTCTCTCCTAAAAAAATTTTTATAAATCAAACTATCATGGGATGTAAGTTTTGAAAACACAAAGTTTCTTAGAAATAAAACTATTATTTTATGATAGGGACAGATAATAAATGATAATCTGGTCCATATCTACGTGCACTATTTGGAGAGCTATGGAGTCATTAATCTCCCTGTTATAGGAGTTATTAAGAAATTATTTTGGGCAGATAGGCCAAGGGGTCCTTGCCAAAGTTTTTTTCTTTTAAAGCAGCTCCAGAAACATTTGTTGCATAGCAGAAAAGCAGCTTGAACGGCCAGGCTGGCAAGTTTTGATATGCAAATGCAAGCCACTAGAAACTGGGTCCACTCAATACGGCAATTTCCACCTTCTTGTAACTACAAGTACCTAGCATCCTGGCCGCCCCCACATATCCCCATGTGTGTACAACATCTTGGCTCCCTGCACTTGCATATTAAAAAGCTAGGGTAGGAGGGCCAGATTTTTGTGGGCTACATGAATGACAAACCTGGTCAAACCAATCCCCTGGACCCTATGCAAATCAGACACCACCTCTCCCAACCTCCTAATATGACTGGCTCTTTTCTGACACACTGGGGGTTCCCTCTCTCAGCCTGGAGATCCTCACCCTCTGCCTCTGTATGGGGGAGCCTCTTCCTTCTTTCTTGCCTAAAAACTCTCTCCACTCCTTAAAAGAACTCCACATATGTGTCGTTTTATTTAAAACAGCACAGACTAAGGACCTGGTGTTCCTCCAGTCATCAGAGCCATATGATTTTGGTGCACTGGCCGTGAATCCAAGTTAAAACATTCATCGGAGCAATAATAATGGGAGTGAGCTCAAAATTCATCATTCCGAGATGCTCTTGGCAACTATTTTAAAATCAAATCAAATCAATCAACAGGCATCTGTCAGCTGGTTAGCTACACTTACCGTTGGCTGCCTTTCGAAAAAGACTCAGATGTGAGGCTTGCTGGTGAGAACATGGAGAATCGCCCCCCTCCCCTTCATACCCACAGGTCATTGGGAATGTTGGCCATGTTTCGAATGAGTTTCCTTTCATGGGGAGACCTTGCCATCATGCAAGCCTGGGAAAAGTTCTGAGGCAACTGAGAATATCTGGGCAGGGCACACCCTGGCATTATTCAAAGGCCTATGGACTGGACCCAGCCTCCTACAGCCCATTTCGGGTGCTGGCAAAGAATCAAAAACAATAAGTTCGTGTCCTTTGTAGGGACATGGATGTACCTGGAAACCATCATTCTCAGCAAACTGACACAAGAACAGAAAATCAAACACCACATGTTCTCACTCATAGGCGGGTGTTGAACAATGAGAACACATGGACACAGGGAGGGGAGCATCACACACTGGGGTCTGTCGGTGGAGGGGAATAGGGAAGGGACAGTGTGGGGTGGGGAGTTGGGGAGAGATAGCATGGGGAGAAATGCCAGATATAGGTGAAGGGGAGGAAGGCAGCAAATCACGCTGCCATGTGTGTACCTATGCAACAATCTGCAATCTGGCATGTTCTTCACATGTACCCCAAAACCTAAAATGCAATTAAAAAAAAAAAAAAAAAGAACCCTCAGCTATCCTATCACAAAAGTTTCCTTCCTTTTCTATTCGTGGTCTCTTACTCTCTCTGTGTCTGTCAACTGTGTCGGAATTTAGTAACCAGGAGTTTAGCTCAGGAATGCCATTGCAATCTTCTGGGAACAGAGGGTCTTCCCCACTCCCCCAACAGTGAGCGTCTCTCTCTCTTAACCCTTTGGTTTGGAGAACAGATAGCATCTCCAGATCTCTCTTTCCACTTCTCTGAGGAGCCCACGGTATTTCTAAGATAACAGTGCCACCTAGTGGAAATGGAAATCGTCTACAAGAGGCGCTTTTTTTTTTTTTTTAATGGTAACACCACAGCTTCCTTTCTGCACAGCTAATCTTAGGCTCTAAGCCTCTTCCATGAACGGGAAAATTCTGCTTTCAACAGTTAGGAGTCAAATGTCTTCCACAGCCAAATTTTAGTCTCAATATTGTCCCATCAGCAGGAAAACAGCCATTTGGCACCTACATTCCTTTAAGGCACCTGTTCTGTCACCGAGACAGTACTTAATTAGTAAGGGGATCTTAAGTCTGGAAGTTAACTGGAACCATTTTTCCAAGGGTAAATGCTTTAGCATGGGCCATAATAGCAAGATATAGAGTTCAATATAGCACACCCCCTCCATTAAAGGGGCCTTGCCCAATTACACAGTTTTTCACAAGTCTAGGATGTCAAAGGGACATAATAAGCAGAAGACTGAGACTACTTAAATAAGCATTAGTAGACCTCGAAAGCCTAGTTTCTCTGGTGCCATGGCTTGGCGGGTTCACACCTACAGCCATGGGTGGCACATTTAACTGGGTGCTGGGACCCAGGAACCAGGGAGGGAAAATAGTTAGAGGAATGTCCCCTACTGTTTTCTTCTCCACCCTGGGTGATACACCAAAAGGAAGAAGACTAAAAGGACATTTTTATTCTCATTTCTCTTTCTAGATCATCTTCTGCATGCACTCCTCTGGAGTATATTTTAAAGCACTGGGGCTCCTTCAACCATGAGGCTTTGAAGAAAAAGTGATGCATATTCTATTGCACAAGGGCATGGCCTTCTTACCATCTTGGGAACAGACAAACCTGATCTGCCAGGGGAGCCCTGATTTTAATATTATCCAACAGTTAGATCTTTTCTGCAAACAGAAGAGTAAATGGACTGAGGTCCCCTATTACAGACCTTTTTTGCCCTGCGAGACAACTCAGACCTTTACAACTTCTGTACAATTGACCCAGTTCTTTCAGCAGCCACAGCAGACAAGCCCACAAGGAATAGTTCCCCAGAGCTAAAGTAGGTTCCAGAGGAGCAATCTGAGACAGCTGCTTAATGTCCCAATCCTTCCAGTCCCCCTCCAATCATACTATCAGCTCCTCCAGCTCCACCATCTCCAGTATATCCTACTCTCCCTGCTTCACTTTTCCCTCTGCAGGAAATGTCTGATGGGAATGGTACCATGAAGGTTCAACTTCCCTTCTCATTACAGGGCCTTAAGCAAATAAAGGGAGACTTGGGGCAATTTTCTGATGACCGAGTAGGTATACAGAAATTTTCTAAAACTTAACTCAGGTCTTTGATCTCACATGGAGAGATGTTATGTTGCTGCTAAGTCAGACCCTCACTGTGGCTGAAAAGCAGGCAGTTCTGCAGGCAGCAGAAAAAATATATGGAGATTAAAAAAAAAAAAAAACACGCCTCCTATAGCAGACCAAGGAGAAAAAAAGGCGATAAGGAAGGTAAGGAAGAAGTGGAAACTCCATTCCCACTAGGAAGGAAAGCAGTTCCAGCAGACAACCCTGATTGGAACCCCTATATAACTCAGGAGATGAGTGGAAAAGGAAGCACTTTTTAAGGTGTATACTAGAGGGCCTAAAAAAGATCAGGGCCAAACCTCTCAATTACTCTAAACTGTCCATGATAGACCAAAAACCAAATGAGAACCCCACAGCCTTTATGGAAAGGCTGAGAGAGGCACTAATAAAACACACCACTTTATCCCCTGATTCAGTTGAGGAACGGCTCATCTTGAAGGATAAGTGTATACACAGGCAGCTCCTGATATTGGAAGGGAACTAGAGAAACAAGCTACAGAACCAGATAGCACCCTAGAGAGCCTCCTGAGAACAGCCACTTCAGTCTCCTACAATAGGGATCAGGAGGAGGCCAGAGAAAAGGGGAGGAAATACAAGAGAACAACAGAGGCTCTAGTAGCAGTGCTATAAGCCTGTAAAATACAGGATCCCTAAGGTGCATCCATTAGCTGTTATCAATGTGGCAAGTCAGGGCATTTTAAGAATAAATGCCCAGGCAGCAAGACAAAGCCACACCAACCCTGTCCGGCCTGTGGCAGAGACTACTGGAAATGGATCTGCCCCCAAAGGCAGAGGTCACTGGGTTCAGAACCAGTCTCACAGATGGTCCAACAGGACTGACGGGTCCCAGGGCTCAAACCCCCAGCTCCAGTGACTCAGACTGTCATTACAGCACAGGAGCCCTGGGTGATTCTGGAAATTGAAGGAAAGAGGGTAGATCTCCTTCTGGATACTAGAGTCAGTCTCTCTTTCCTCCTCTCTAATCCAGGCCTCCCTTCTCCCCAGAGCATGACCATAAAGGGTTAACAGGAAAAACTCTAGCCCAATATTTTTCTCAGTCCCTTAGGTGCAGATGGGGGAACTTATTTAAACATGCCTTTTTAATCATGCCTGAAAGTCCCATTCCTTTATTAGGAAGAGATATTCTAGATGCATGGGGGCCTGCAGCTTTTTGAGGAAGACATGGTCATAGTTGTTGCGGGTTGTAGATCCACTCCTGACTCACCGCTGTTCGCTCTGGTCCAGAAACAAGTCGGTCAGGAAGCCATGCAGCAGCCACGGCTTTAAGGATACCAGAAAAATGCCCATGGAGCCAGAGGTGGCAGTTCATCAAATCTGAATCACTCTATTGAGCTGCAACATAAAATCCCTGGAGAAGGTGTGTGCTGACTTCATTAGAGGAGCAAAGGAAAAAAATAGTGAAAGGACCAGTTCTAATGCCTACCAAGACTTTGAGAATCACTACAAGAAAAATTCATTGTGGTGAAGGTTCTAAAACATGGGATCGTTTCCAGATGAGAAACCACAAGCAACTCATTGACTTGCACAGTCCTTCTGAGATTGTTAAGCAGATTAATTCCATCAGTATTAAGCCAGGAGTTGAGGTGGAAGTCACCAGTGCAGATGCTTAAGTCAACTATTTTAATAAATTGATTACCAGTTGGAAAAAAAAAAAAACTCTTTGTCTCCCCCTGATGGAAGCTACCATTAATCCAGAAGTGTGGGCAACTTAAGGAAGAATAACTTGAGCTATAACTGCTAGGCCAGTTCAGATCTATCTTAAGGATCCCACTTCTTTTCCTAACCAGAGGTTAGGAAAGGGCTAGAAGCCATTATTAAAAACCTAAAGATGCGGGGCCTCCTCAAACCCTCTAACAGCCCCTGCAACACTCCCATATTAGGAGTGCAGAACCCCAATGAAGAATGGAGCCTAGTTCAGGACCTTCACCTCATTAATGAAGCTGTAGTTCCAATCCATCCAGTGGTCCCTAATCCCTAAACCCTGTTAACTCAAATACCTGAGGGAACTAAATGGTTTGCAGTCCTAGATTTAAAGTATGCCTTTTTCTGCATACAGTTACATCCCGACTCTCCATACCTGTTTGCCTTCAAGTATCCCTACGGCCAGACCGCCCAGTTAACATGGATGGTATTGCCTCAGGGATTTCGAGATAGTCCTCATCTGTTTGGACAGGCACTACACAAGACCTCTCTGAGTTCTTTCATCCTTAAGTTAGGGTCTTGCAGTACATTGATGATATTGTGCTCTGTGTCCCAAATGAGGATGCTTTTCAGGAAGGCAATGAAGCTCTTCTCACCTTCTTAGCTAAAAGAGGATACAAAGTTTCAAAGCCCAAGGCCCAGTTCTACAAAGCCGGAGTAAAGTACCTAGGCTTAATGCTGTCTGAGGGACCAGGGCATTAGGGAAGGAGAGGCTTAAGCCTATTTCTTCCTTTCCCCTCCCTTAAATCCTCAAGCAACTAAGAAGATTTAAGGGCATTACAGGATTTTGTAGACTATGGATACCTGAGTATGGTGAAATAGGCTGTCCATTATATAACCTCATAAAAGAAACTCAGGGAGCTAAAACTCATCTTTTAACCTAGGAACCTGAAGCTCAAAAGGCCTTTGACGAGCTAAAGCAAGACTTGCTTAAGACACCAGCTCTCAGCCTTCCTATAGGGAAGGACTTCAATCTGTATGTATCATAAAGGAAGATAATGGCCCTGAGAGTATTAACACAGGCCCAAGGACCAGCTGAACAGCCAGTGGGTTACCTAAGTAAGGAACTTGAGTTGGTGGCTAAAGGATGGCCAGCATGCCTCCGAGCCATTGCCTCAGTGGCTCTGCTGGCCACAGAAGCTCCAAATTAACTCTGGGAAATGATTTAACTACTTATGCCTGCCCCAACATGGCAGGACTACTGCACTCTAGGGGAAGCCTTTGTGCAGTAGTCTAGAGGGGGAAGGCTGACTCCTTAAATATCAGGCCCAGCTGTTAAAGGGTTCCACCACCCAATTAAAGACTTGTTCTGTCTAAATCCAGCCACCTTCCTCCCCAAGGAAACTGAGGAATCTGAGCATCATTGAGAGCAAATCATAGTACAGACCTATGCAGCCAGGGAAGATCTCAAGGAAACTCCCCTAGAGAACCCAGATTGGACCCTCTTCACAGATGGGAGCTCTTTTGTAGAACAAAGGACCCACAACGAAGAATATGCAGTAGTCACTCTACATGACAACACTGAAAGTGTGCCACTCCCTCCAGGCACAAGCGCTCAATTAGCTAAGCTAATAGCTCTTACAAGAGCAAGTGAATTAAACAAAGGAAAGATAGCTAATATTTACACTGACTCCAAATATGCTTTCCTGGTTCTCCATGCTCATGTTGCCATCTGGAAGGAAAGGCATTTTCTTACCACCAAAGGATCTATGAAGTATCACCAGGAAATTAACAAGTTATTATCCTCAGTTTTCCTTCCATGAGAAATAGCAGTGATGCATTATAGGGGACATCAAAAGAAAACAGATGAGGTAGCCAAAGAAAACAGATTAGCTTATCAGGAAGATAAGTCAGTGGCAAGGAAGCCTCAAGACAACACACTTCGAACCCCTCTAAACTGGGAAGGCTCCATAAGAGAAATTAAACCTCAGTACTCCCCTACAGAAATAAGATGGGTCACTTCTTGAGGGTATAGATTTCAGCCTTCGGGATGGCTACAGTTGGAGAATGGCAAACTCCACTTGCTAGCCTCCAGCCAATGGAAAGTCCTTAAAATCCTTCACCAAGCTTTTCACTTGGGAATGGTTTATAAAACTTACCAATGTGCCCAGAAATTGTTTTCAGGAGAGAACTTACTAAAAATAATTAAGCAAGTTGTTAATGCTTGTGAAATCCATCTTAAAAATAATTCCCTGAACAGGCAACTCCTTCCTCCTCAAACCCAAAGAATAGGAAGTTACCCAAGGGAGGAGTGGCAGATAAACTTCACCCACATGCCAAAAACAAAGGGCATTCAATACCTGCTGGTATGGGTTGATACCCTCACTAACTGGGTAGAAGCATTTCCATGTTGCACAGAAAAAGCCTCTGAGGTAATAGAAGTGTTAGTTAATGAAATAACTCCTGACTTTGGTCTACCTAAGTACCTTCAAAGTGACAATGACAATGGGCCCTCGTTTAAGGCAGCTGTCACACAAGGGGTCTCAAAAGCACTAGACATAGAATATCATCTCCATTGTGCCTGCAGACCCTAATCCTCAGTAAAGATAGAGAAAACTACTGATATTATCAAGAGAAATCTCAGAAAATTGTCCCAAGAAACTCACCTTCCTTGGGTCACTCTTCTTACCATGGCCTTACTACGAATAAGAAATTCCCCTTCAAAATTAGGTCTTAGCCCATCTGAGATACTGTAAGGACAGCCTTTCCTTACCAACGATTTTTCAATTAGATCGGGAAACCTCTGAGCTAGTTAAGCATGTAACCTCTCTGGCTCACTTCCAACAGGAATTAACATAATTAGTGAAAGCCCAACCCCAGGGAACTGGACTACTTCTAATTAACCCAGGATATTTGCTACTGGTCAAGGCTCTCCCTTCTCTCTCTCCCTCCCTAAGCCCAACCTAGGAAGGGCCAGGCCTTATGCTTTTCTTCTTCCAACTCACCCCCCGGCAATAAAAGTTACAGGAATTGACTCCTGGATACATCACGCTCAAGTCAAATCCTGGAGTAAGGAGAGAGCTACTCCCCACAGCCCAGAGGAACCCCCTGAATATCAATGTGAAGAAACAGAAGAATCATTAAGTGGAAAATCACAGAAGATGAGTAACTGAATGAGAACTACTCATCTTATTCAGTCTCACCCCTACCTCAACAAATACTTTTTGTCGTTTCTACCTCTCCTTTTGAGCCAAATATTAGAACTTATTTTTGGTGGAAATTATTTACTACGCCAGTCTTGCAGGAATTGCTACACTCACTCAAAGTAGAACTATACACTGTAGCACCCTCAGGGTGAAATATCAGAGAAGGAATCTCAATTACTATAGCATTTTGCTTAATTATTAACCTCACAGCAGGAAAAACAGTTACTAATAGGAAGTAAACATAAGTGTTTTACTATCACTAAATATGTTAGGATTTTTTATCAATTTTAATATACCATTTAGCTCCTATAATATCTGCCATGGCCCATTTGTAGGACAAGACTAATTGTTGAGTCTCTCCTAAGTGGCTCACCTCAGTTCAGTGACACTAAAGAACCTTACAATGACCCTGTACTCACTATCTGAGGATTCCCTTTGTTGGCTTTACTTTTAACCCTTAAAGACTTGCCTGATAAGCGTGGGAGCACTTTCAACTGGGTGACTAACTCTTCTTAGGAGAACATTCTGCTCCAAAGACAAGCTTCACACCCTCAGGCTGGGAAAAGTTGACCGAGTAATAGCAAATGCTTGCCTCTGCTTTAAAAATAGTGAGGAGGGACCACACTTGGAAGATCTTAGATGTTATAACATCACACTTGTAACTGCTGATAGTTCAAAGATTTGGGGACGAGAACACACCAAGGGTGATCTACAAGGATCAGAAGCCCTAATGGGGGACTTTCAGAATCTAACCTCTCCTTCTAATTGGAAGCCTTGATGGGAGTAGCATGCTCTAAGTAACCACCTTGACTATACTGTAAAGAATAACACATGACTCTTGCCAAACATATCCCGACATGGAATTCCAGACCCTTGTATGATGTTTGCTAATAGTAGCAGCTTACAGATCTGTGGATAAACTGGAGACATCTGGACTGACAGCCCTTGTCATAAGAATCATCTGAGAAACTGGCCAGAGTATATTATGTCTCTAATTTTTCAAAACTCCATTTGCCAGGTGGATCCTTCTCACTTGGCATGTCAAATTCCAAATGGCATCGTAAATGACTATGCTAAATATGGTTATCTTTATCCCAAGGATGGCTCTATTATACATAAAGAAAGGAAACTTCTAAGATATGAGAAAAATCTGCTGGTGTCTCTCACAAGCCATAACTTAGAACCATCCCTTCAAGTAACAGGGCTATATTTTCTTTGTGGCTCCTGGATACGCTTAATCCTCCCAAGGCACTGGAAGGGAACTTGTACTATAGCTGTAGTAATTCCCGAATTACTATTTTTAAATTCTACTGAGATGGCAGCAGCATCTGGAGACATCCCTAACTATAGGCTCTTTTCTAGAAACTGCACTATCTTGAATACACTGGACAAAAAAAATCATTTCTATGCCCTCATACAGAGATTTAACTGAAAGGGCAGACTGGAGAAAGCACATACATGACAATCCCATCTTAGAAAAACCATGGCTGGACAATTCTATAGCCAGAGGTACATTCTAGTTTATCAGTCTCTCTCTCCTTGAAAGATCAATAATTAATATCTCTGTTATGATGCAACGAGGATAGAAGGCAACTGTAGGGGGCATAGAGGCACAACAATCTGTAGACTCTTTAGCCTCAGTAGCAGCACAAAATAGACAGGCCTTAGATGTCCTTACAGCTGAAGTAGGAGGTACCTGTGCACTTTTAAATGAAACATGTTGCTTCTGGATTAACACCTCTAGTAGAAGAAAATACACAGGTACTTAAAGATCAAATAAATCAAAATTACTGAC